TTGACGAATATTTTGTGACATTTTATACAATTATTCTTACTTTGTGCGAAATTTTGACTGAGTTTAGTTATTCTGATCACTTCCTTCTTATTTTATCCTTATATATATATTCGATCATATACGTGGTATTCATTGTGTCAAATTAATGACGCTACATTGACAAACCGATAATTTTGTTAAGAAGGTATCCCATAATAGCGAGAAAGTAATTCAACTGGCTGCAAGCTGTAAAATTCATTTGATATTTTGTGTGAACAAATTGGTGTGGAATACTTTGCCTGATATACAGTTTTTTTACAAGTTATTGAATTTGATGTAAGGAGAATTGTGAATAATAAGAATGGTTTAAGAGTATCATATGTTCCTATGTTAATGACATAAGCTCTAATTCAGTTTGCAAATTCGCATAATTATATTTTTAGGAAACTTACAATAGTTTATTTATTTTGATGCAAACTAAACTTATTTGGAATATTAATTCTAATGGACTTCGAAAATGATTAAACAATGTGCGACTTGGAGATAATATTACTCAAAATGTTGAATAGATTATGATTCGAGGAATAAGTTTTGCACCATTTAACTTGAAATTGATGTATATATATATTGTATATATTCTATTTTATGTACCATAGTCAGCTTAAGCGCGTTTTAAAGTCTATAAAAATTAAACCAATAAATAAAGTTAAGTAGAAATGCGTCTCCGGCATGTTCCCTTAACAGCAACCGTATTTGATAAATATAGACCTATTAGTGGCATTTTTGAATGACCTACTTCCACATTCACAAATAATGTTGCTACTACTTTAACTATAACATTGTAAAACAACAAAAGCGACAAACTGCACATTCATCAAATTTTTACAATTTGCTCCAATTTCTAAACAACTTTACCGCTTACAATAAAATATTGCCAAACATTTAGAATAATATACAATGTACAAGCACACGCTGTGCCATAGTGGCTATAGAAACCTCAACCTTTAGGTAAATAAATCAAGCAATTTCAGTGGCTGCCAACAATCGTTGCCGCCAGAACGCGTCGGCATGCAAAAAACTCTATCAATTGAATCGCTGCCACATGGCCAAAATGGTTAGCGTTCTGCGCATGCGCCAAAGCGATCGAATTCACCGTTCACCTTTCGCTTAAACAAAGTGCCAAGGGGTTTTTTCTCTTAAGCCGCAGTGCTTTAGGTTAGACAGAAGAGCTTGGCTCTGTAAATGGGAGCATATAAATCCGGGTATGTGTGGCTGTGTGTGACATGGCTTTCTTAAGTCGATTTGTTTGTCGGCGCAAAAGTACAAATTCAATTACCTGCCGATCGCCGAGTACAGTCTGTCCGCCATTTTGGCAGTGATATGCATTGGCTTGGCGTAGGGTACCGCTATAGCCGCAATGTCAAGCTCGCCATCGCCGGTGGCGTTATCGCTTTGGCTGCCGCGACAGCAGGCAGTTGGCCAAAATTAGTGTTGGCAATAAATTATCTAACACACTCTTAACCCTCTCCACTCTTTTCTTATCTCAGCTAAGCTTGTGTGTTCTTGGCGTTGGAAAGCGTTTTTGGTTTCTTACATGGCGCGTTCTCAGTCGCGCGCTGAGGCATTAACTTTAACTTTTGCAGCCTTTTGACCTGAATCGCGCAATGGCAGCTGAATATTTTTTACTTATTGATCTGCATAGGGTATCCTGGAAATATGTCTGGTGCAGAGCAATTCTCAAAATATTCTTATTTTTGTCAAAATTGATTTTATCTAACTGACTGTGAGCTGGCACTGCAATCCTATTTATAGAAAAGTTTGACATTTCACGTATAAGATTAAAATATCCGTTAAACCGCATTTAAAAACGAAAACTCAGGTTCTGAAATAGAATTTCAAGCATTTTTAATTTTATCAGTCCATTATACTTTACTAATAGTAGTCCGCCTCTAGTCAGTAAAATATCAGCCGTTTTTTACTTCTCATAATGTTATCAATAAATTCTTGTTCTGAATCATTTGTATATGTTTTTTATTTATTTTCTCCTCAGTTCTTCTAAAAAATTAAAATTTATTAAAACTAGATTTAAAGCTTTCCCAAACAGGAGTTGAGAGTAATGTGATGTATATTGGGGAGATTATTATACCAGTCATTAATAAATAACTGCTGACGTTTTTCACATACATTTTTGTCTTTAGTCAATTTTTTTGACTTTAGATTTGCAAACCTATCGCAGATATCGCATATACACAAATTGCCTTAAGGTATTAGCCTTTTGGTTGGACCCTTAACTTATAGTAATGATATTTTGATATGATACAGTTTATTATTAAATTATATAGAATATTATACTTTTAATTTAGTTCCAATTACATGGATACTTCTCAACTTGCCCGATCTATGAAATCTTATTGGCATAGACCTGCGACTGCGAAAAGCTTGATGAGAGGAGATTCAGAAGACCAAAATCGCATGTTTTTTCTTACTTGTCGTTTGGTTTCAGCAAAAATAAACACCCTTTACCCTTTATCAAATGCATACATTGATAATATTGAACTTCATTGAGTTATTTACTATATTTAAATAACAATTGGTCCTGAATCGATTGATTTAGATGGTCTTTGCAAATGAACTTCTGGAAATAAGCAAGAGTACTTTGGAAATGAAATTTTTAAGAAATGTTGTTGTAGACTTGCTTATATTCATATATTCTTAGGTATATTATACAAATATCAAATACTTTAATAAAGATAACTACTTTACCGTGTACCGTTATAACTTTTTAACAAGACAATCATGAAGAATTTCTTGAAACAGAAACTCCACCTGTTGTTGTTGTTGTAGCGACAGAACTCTGCGGAGTTGACAGTCCTTGGCCGGAATAAATCCGGGTCCGTTCCGGTTACGTAGACCCGACTGTCGTGGGAACTCCACCTCATCAAGCTCGCCTCATTAAATTCTTATCAAATTTTTATTTTAGGTGCAAGCAGGGTTGGAAATAAATATAATAATATAATGAATAAATTGAACGAATTTTTGAATTAATTTTTTGCTTTGTATCAAATACCGTATCAAATGGCGTTTTGAAAAATATACAATAATAAAATTATTTAATCGAAAATACAGAGTTTAGACAGAGCCATCATCTTCAATGCTCTAGAGCAGTGCTCGGCAGACTTATAGATTCAAACGATTTATATATTCTCAATTTTTAATTTTTAATTACACGTTTTAATTCAAAATTTTTTATTCATACCCAAATTTAAAATAGCAAAATCTATTAAATTTTTAAATAAAAAAATGCAACCCTTCTTGTAAGTAAATAATACATTTGAGTAATTTAGCTCGCAAAATAAATTGGTAATATAAAATGACAGACATTCTCATTGCTTTGGTTAAGACTGCTATAAAATTTGATAGTTAAATTTTATTATTTGACTTGTAGATATTTTAAGCAACATATTGCACCCATTAATTAAATTGCTTTTATAGGTGTAATGGCAAATTTAGGTGATCTTGTTGCTAATATTTGTTTAAAAAATAAATTTACTTAAATAAAAAAAAAAATTTTTTGCAAAACAAAATGAAGGAAATTTTTAAATTGCTTACTTGCAAATTCACTAAAGTAAGTAATTTTCTAATTTAATTTGTGCCATATATGTATACATATAGATGTGTGCGCAATAGAACGCCCATTTAGTTCAATAAACATGTATATGAGTTTGTATGATTGTGTGTGTACGTCATATGTCGGTGTCGATAAATTTAATTCAAAAATTAATTGATTTTGTTCTACCGTTACGGGCAACCTTCGGTGCTTATGTGAGGCAAACACACAATCTGCACTCAAATAACCGCCACAATACAGTTATTTACAATTAGCGTGTGGGTAGCACAGACATTTGCGCCGGCACATGGGACGTTCTGGCTATTGAAATAAAAGAATTTCGCTTCATTTCTTTTAACAACTAAAGAATTTCGATATGGTAGTTTTCTAATAACACCCTTTTTGTACTTTCCACTTAATTTTTACCTACATCTTTTCATCTAACCTCAATTACTACTTATCTTGCTTCTGATTTTTGATCACCATCTTTATTATTGTAGTTTTTAGAACTTCGAGCGAAATTGTGTTAATGCAGCAGACTTCCCAATAAGTAACCACTAAATACAAACATTTGCTTTATTCGCTTTGTTGAGTTCGTCCAATATTTGTGCTCGACGCGCTGTGTTGCTCATTAAATCGAGCCAGAGGTCATAAGTAGGTGGCTAGGAGTGTAAGCTTCGTAAGATGTGGAGGTGACGCCGCGCGCCGTGGCGGCCGTGATTAATGTCAGCCCATTTGCTTGTTCATAACTTGTTTGATTAATTTCTCAATGTTACGTTGATGAACACAAATTGTTTTCGTTCTTTGCTGTTGTTGTTGCTATTATTATTCAGCAAAATTGCTGAGGGGCTTGAAGTGTAGCTAAAAGGTGTAAAGTGGGACAATAGGCGCCTCATTAGGCGCGAATAAAGCACAGTAGTGAGCTTTAAAGGTTAATTTTTGATAGAACTTATACTCGAGCGGATGAGTGAAGAAAGATAGATAGATATATAGATGTATGTATGTGTCTATTTAATAGACTTCTCGTCAATATACCAAAATATTTGTGTGGTTATATTCATATTTTTTCTTTAAATGGACGGCCTTATATATTTGATGGAAATCTCAAGTACCTTTAATTTGATTTCATTAATAATTTAACGAATTTCAGACATGTGGCAACCCTTCTTTAAAATGCACACAGAAATTATTCACATCCCTATTTTATTTGATACCCATTATAAAATATTATTATTATTACTATTTACCTTATATATTTAATTGAATAAAAATGAAACAGGTGGCATCATTTTCAAAAATAAATTCAAACGGATGCCTGAAAAAATAATTTTATTTTCTTACCTTATCTCTTTTTTTGAATTCATGGATTTGTTTTTTATAATTTCTCATGCTTTTATTTACTATTTATTTCCAGGTGGCAACACAAGAACTGTCGACACAAAATGAATTTGCGCCACGCGTAACGGCGACATGCAAATCGGGCACAATGAATATCAAAGTGAAATTCAACGGTCCCTACACGGGTGCAGTACATGCGCGCGATCATCGCAATGCGGCCTGCATGGCCATGGGCGACAGCTCTGATGCGGTGGGCTTCAGCATAAATCTGTTGGCGAAACAGGGTGCGCCCGATTACTGTGGCGTGTTGGTCAGCAACGTGAGTGGTGCCAATGTAAGCTAACCAATTGTTCCAATACTAATTCACACTAATTTACTCAGTTGACTTTGAAAGCTAATTTTGTGTTGTTTTTGCAATTTCTCCTTTTTTTCTTATTCTTAACTGTTTTTTGTGTTTCTGCCTTGTTTACATGACAGTTGTTGTTGTACAACGATTTGTATGCAACAATGCCTGTATTTGGTGTTGTTGCGAAATTCACGACACGTTTCGATGTCGTCGAACGGAGTGTCTGTTCGTGTTTTTTTTTTGCGATTGTCAATATTTGTAATTTAATTGATGATTCCTTGATGATAATGATGATTATAATGAAGATAATGATGAAGATAATGATGTTGATTTTAGTATTTTTTTGTTTTATTTGCGATGCTTACAATTAAAATTCGTGGAACTTATTAAATTCATTGATATTTGTTTTTCGTTAGTTACTGAACAAGGTATGATATTCTCTGAAAGGGAAAGCGAGAGTGTGCTTTAAATATTAATATATACTTTACTCTAAAATGGAATGGTAAATACTATATTTAAGTCACCAAGTGATCAGAAAGTCAAATTTCACAATGCTATCCAAATTTCAAATTTTAGAATTTCCATAATATAAGCTTTCACAAGATTTTCATTTAGTTTTAACTGTTTTAGGAAGTTTAATTTTTAAAGGAATATTTTCACATGCATAATAACGAATGTACACTTGTTAGACCATTAGATCTCCCCTTTTCATTTAATTAATCTCACCTTTATTTATGTAAAATTATTGTTATTATATTTAAACATCACTGTTTTTGCCAACAAAAATTTAGTTATTGTCTCTTCATAAGGACTTTTTAAAATTGAATATTTAGCCTACAAACGAGCAGTAAATTGTTTATTTCTTTACAAGTCCGCCGTTTTCTAAAAATTTATGTAAAAAATATACTTTAGTAGGTAATCTAAATGTCGGCTCTAAACTGCTCTAACTTCTTAGAAACAAATTCTTATTTATTATACTCTGCCGACTCATTTAATAATTATTTTGACATCGTGTAATATAACAATTGAACTAAAAGTATTTTCAAATCTTCATTGGATGAATATATTTATTATATACACTAACAAAATGCTCTTTTCTACGTAAACCCCATATAACTTACTATGCTTTTATATAAGAGAAAACCAACAAACCAAATTAAATTAGTTCATTGTACGCGTCAAGGATATATTTGATGTGCTTTATGTAACTAAACAACTTGGAAAGGCACTGTCGTGCATTTGAGCGTCTAACCTATGTGTAATATAATTATGCTTCAGGCTCAAGTGCCAAGTTTCGTCTAAGATAATTTGACCTTTCGTTATGTATGTAGAGCATCTAAATCTACAAGACACAAATTGGAGTCTATTATTTTCGCCGAATTTTTTTTTTTATAATTTTTGGAATTTTTTACTAGCACAGGCTTTTGGTAACAATAAATATATAAAATGAATAAATGCAGATTTCTCTTATCTAAAATTTTTATAGTAAGACATGAGATATTGAAAATATTAGCATTTAACTCATATCTATCGGTCTTATACTTCTGCGTCTAAACACTGCTTATGTTGTTCTACAAGACTAGTAAAACAATTAAGCCAAAAATCATTTTGAATGCAGCTGCGAAATCGAATATAAATATAATTATTGGTATCAAATCGTCTCTGATGTTTTTTTCTTTCGTTACCAATGACCTTAAGGTTTTTATACAACATTTTAATTGTTATGTTGTTGTTGTAGCGGCAAAATTCTGCCGAGTTGACAGTCCTTGGCTGGATAAAATCCGGGTCCGTTGCGGTTACGTAGACCCGACTGTCGTGGGAACGGATACTACTACTAATTGTTATCCCTGTAGTTGGTTGATCCGGTGTTAATGAGGTCATTACTATCGGGTTCGCATCTAGGCTGAGTAAGATTTGAAAATGACAGATAATTATCAACCTCTGAAAATTTTCTAACCTTTATCAGATTTGCGTAAAAAGTAGCCGTTTTCATTTATTTCTGACAATGGGTGACAATATTCGGTTCATTATAAGAAAATATCAATAATGACCGCAATATTTTTCAAACTTAGAGAAGTTACTTTTAAAAAAATGTATATATTTGTATAACATTTTGCTTTATTGCCTTACACTTAACCTTTCGACTATTTTGCGATTTCCTGATATTAGCTAACTCTGCAAATTAAAAAAAAAAATAAACAGCTCTTTTCAAAATATAATTTATAACATATTTTATTTATTCGTAATCCTGAATTTTTAGTATAAACCTGAATACGAATTATGTTTGTAAAGTAATGTATATGGATATCACTTTAAATGGAAAGAAAATTTCCGCACCATTAAATCTAAAAATCGAAATTTCAAAGCATGCCTAACTCTTTAAACTCTCCCCGATTTGCATAAGTTCAATAAGTTACTGGAATAGGAGGTGCTTCACATATATACATATATACATAAATAAAAATTAATATATTTAGTATCACCAAGTTTTATTTTTACAGAAATTATTTTTGTTGTTTAATTTTATGCTTGGCCTCGAAGGGAGCTCAATAATGCCACTAGTAACTCAAGCGGCTCATCCTTTTTTTAAATAACCTGATAAGAAACTCAATCCACTCTAACTTACATTGAGTAAGATCCATAAAAAACATATTTTTCATGTTTGCAGCTTTATCCTCTCTTAGGTAGTTCCTCGTGTATAAATTTAGATTTAATTTTTTCTCAGGTTAGCAGCTTAAATTTTTTAATATTTAATCATAATACGCTTTTAATTGAAATCTTGTACCCTGAACACAAACTAGTCCTTCTGAAATTTTGCACACGTCCTTTTCTTGCTTAGAAGCTGCTCATTTGTCGAAACGCCGATATCGGATTACTGTAGCATATTGCTGCCATACAAACTGTACAATCAGAATTAAGTTATTGTATAAAAAATGTTTATTTCGCAAAATATTTTCATGAAATTTGATACGGATGTTCAAAACAACGCTACAATACTCGAAGAAATTTCCGAAATCGGACTACTATAGCATATAGCTGTCATACAAATTGATCGTTTAAAATTAAGTTCAAGTATGAAATTTTATTTTTATTTCACAAGATATCTTTATAAAGTTCGACATATATTACTGTCCAACGCAACGCTCCAATATTCGAAGAAATTTTTCATATCGAACTACTTAACTTACAAACTGAATGACTAAAATTAAGTATATTTAGTTTCTATATTTGCGAAGGGTGCTTCGGTGCAACCGAAATTAACGTTCCTCTTTTGTTTTTTATTTTATACTTTGCATTTAATCAAATATATGTATTCTTTTATTAAAGGTATAATTTCGAAAATCATTTTATTAAAAATCAACATGTTTTGTTTAATTTTTCATATAAAATACTACTAAGAAATGCTCAGCTAATTTTTTTTTATTAAAAATTCAAATCAACTATTTTACTTGAAACTGAAATCCATGCATGTGTTTTCAACAGCACTAAAACACTCTCATGCTTTTATTACATAAACCCCATAAAACTTTTATTCACCTCAAAAAGTAAATGCTGCAGCTTAATTGTCCGCCAGGTTCGCAGCTTAAGTCTTTTGATTGCCTAATCTCGCGATAGCATTTCCATTACATTTTTATAACTTCGCTTGCATAAACGCAATTATTCGTAAGCTTAACGTTGCTGTAAGTAATTGTGAAATCAAAAAATTGTTAAATTGCGCAAGTAGAATTTTTGCCGACAAAAGCGACAACAACACATTGAAAAACATACAGCTGTAAAGTAAAACAATTGAAAAACTAAAGCGGCAAAATGCCGCCGTAAAAATTGTATTATAAACGCTGCCAAAAATAGCAGACACAACCACAAAAAATACAGCATCCAAAAACCCAAGAAAATTTCAATAACAAAGCCGATTTGCTTGTGACCCAAAAGACAACAGACTACAACAACAACAACAATTACGACATATACCTATGTATACGATTTAAAATTGGGTGTTGAATTGAAAATTGTTTTGTGTGCAACACAGCGCTTTCAACACGAAGTGGACACAACGCCAACAGTCAGCCGACAATCCGCCGCAATATGGTCGATCAAGCGTTCAGCCAAAACACGTACGAGCGCCAAATATTTGCGCTACAGACATTTGCACATGCGCACACACGCCTGTCGGATATTATAGGTACATATGTTAAGTTGCTTAGTGTTTGTCGCGTACTTAACCCGGCCTCGAGTCAATCAGCGACAACCGAACAACACAAAACAAGGCGCGTCCAAATGCCACGGAGCAAATACTCGGAGCTACGAAAAATGCGATTGAAAAAACCAGGATGGTCAGCGGTTAGCCGCCGACTGTGGTTGCGGAGCTTTTAATGCGCGCAGCTGGTTGCCAACTATTTATATTTACCCATAGTTGCTTCCCTTGAGCACTATGCTGCTTTTATATATACATATACTTAAGCTATATATACAAATATATAATATGTATGTATGCATATTTTTAGTGCCTCCACCTATGTGCTTATGTGCTCGTCTTGTGGTTGTCAATCGTTATGCGCGCGCATGCGTCGGGCACAGCCAGACGATTGGACAGACAGATAGACAGGCAGACACGGACAATACGAGCAGATAAATGGCAATGCGTCTGACTAATGTGGCGCAGCATGAAATATGGGTCCTGCGGCACATTTTCACTGTGGGCAGGCTGAGGCGCGCACTCAGTCACTCATGTCGTCCCCAAATGCATTACACACACACACCGGAGTTCTATGATTTAATTTCTAGTTAATGCGTATGCCAGAAAGATAGGCTCCACTCAACATGCACACATGCGCGAAATCTACATCCCATACGAGATTTGCGCCGCATCCGCTAAGCTGTTTGGTATGCAGTTCCTATGGACATGGCGCATGCGTGCACTTATGCTAATTTCTCGCAATCGGCTCGTTAGTTTGACTGTCAGCCGTTTGTGTGTAGATTTGTATATGCAT